AGACCAGCGAACCAATTTCTACAACGACATCCGGGGCTGAAACATCTGTTACTCCCTCTACAACATCATTGCAAGAATCGCTTGCAACTGTTGAAGGAGGACCCTCAGTGAAGCCAACAACGGCAGGACCCATTGAAGCTAGCGGAGAGGAACCAGCAGTGACTAACATAGTACCTATCGTTGCAGCCAACGTCGACCAGGTGGCGACCACAGCTACAGAAGAGACCAGCGAACCAATTTCTACAACGACATCCGGGGCTGAAACATCTGTTACTCCCTCTACAACATCATTGCAAGAATCGCTTGCAACTGTTGAAGGAGGACCCTCAGTGAAGCCAACAACGGCAGGACCCATTGAAGCTAGCGGAGAGGAACCAGCAGTGAGTAACAAGATACCTATCGTTGCAGCCAACGTCGACCAGGTGGCGACCACAGCTACAGAAGAGACCAGCGAACCATTCTACAACAGACATGCGAGACGCCCGAGGGAGCTGGATTTGGACTCGCTGCGGAAACAGGTGGAAGCCGATCCGTATCAAACCACTCGAGATATGGCGACCGCTCTTGGGGTGAGTCAGACTACTGTCGTTCGCGGCTTGAAGTCAATCGGCAAGGTGCTGAAACTCGGTCGATGGGTACCCCATGCTCTGACGCAGCGGGACATGGATCGGCGGTGCGAGGTCGCACTTTCGTTGCTCACCTTCAAGCGCCACCACCATTGGCTCGACGAAATAATCACTGAAGTGGGTCCTCTACTCTAACTCTCACCGCCGTGCACAATGGGTCGACAAAGATGCCGACGCAAACGACGTCCCCAAACCCAGTCCACACCCGAAAAAGGTGATGCTCTGTATTTGGTGGAGCGTACACGGCGTAGAGTACTGGGAACTGCTCGATGAAGGTGCAACAGTAACCGCCGACGTCTACATTCGTCAATTACGAGAATTGAAGGCAAATGTCCAAAATTCGCAACGGCGGCGGTCCCATGTCTACTTCCAGCACGACAACGCGAGAC